TTTAAAAACGTCCCTACCTAAAATCCCTACCTAAAATCCTCCCTAGGTCAGGCCCGCTTGCTGGAAAAGCCATGTCTTGAGGGCGCGGCGGAAAGTAAGGAGATCCGGAATCATCCGGATCTCGGGGGGGAGTTCGTTCCAGAGGGTGGGGGCACCCACAGAGAAGGCCCTCCCCCTGGGGGTCGCCAGCCTACATTGCCTGGCCGACGGCACCCTGAGGAGGCCCACTCTTAACTCCTAACCAGGTTAAATTAATAACCCTCTTCTACAGCAGTCTGTAATTGACAAACATTTATAGCGGAGTTTCCATCAATGCAATGCGGTTGTTAAGTCATCCCACAACCATGCCCAATTTTACGACCTTTTTCTAACCATGGTCATTAAATGAATCGCACGGTCGTTAAACAAGTCATGGCATTGTTAAGCGAATCAGGCTTCCTCTGCTGACTTTCCTTGTCAGAAACTGGCTGGGAAAGTCACAAATGGCAATCACGTGTTGTAACTTGGAACGGGCCACTAAACGAATCGTCGTAAATTGAGGACTGCCGGTACATGTAGTCCCCCACTTACAATCGTTCATTTAGTGACCAGTCAAAGTTACAACAGCACTGAAAAACAGTAACTTTGACCCTTTTCCACACTTAGGATTGTTGCAGCATCCGCCATGATCAAAATTGGGGTGCTTAGCAATATTTACGACGGTTGCGTAGTGTCCCCGGGGATCACGTGATCCTCTTTTGCGACCATGGGGAAGCCAGATTCATTTAACGACCGTGGGACTAAATTCACAACTGCAGTGATTGGTTTAATAGCCATAGCAAGAAAGGGCATAAAATTTGCTTAACAATGGTCTTGCTTAGCAACGGAAATTTTGGTCCGAAGTTGAGGATTACCTGTATTGCTTTGTGATGAAATTGCATATAATTCCTCCCTTCTGTCTTTTTCAGCCGATTCACTGGATCTTTAGCAGAATTAGCCCGTCACGTTACCGCGGTGGATTTTATGGATAGCTTCCTGAACCGGAATCGGCAAGGAAACAGCCACCGGACCAACATCACGTTTTTGCAGGCCGATGTCACCAATTTGGAATTTCCAAGCCAGAGGTGCGAATCAACTTGCACGTTTATTAGATCAGTTTCATAACTAATTCACCTTTGTCGCTTTGCCCAGTGAAAGATTTCATAACTGGCCATCCGAAACGTAAAAAAGAAAAGAAAAGAAAGAAATTGCAGAGGCGTTCGTCCTAAAAGCAAAAGCCGATTGAATGTCTCTTTTTTGAAATTCCAGCAAGAATCTGCATTTTTCTGATGATTTATTTGTCCTCCAAATTTTAGTTTTGACCTCATCTTCTCCAACTGGCTGTTCATGTACCTGTCGGACGCCGAGCTAAATGCTTTGGTCCAAAAGATGCTGTTGTGGCTACGACCGCAGGGCCATATCTTCTTCCGGGAATCGTGTTTTTACCAGTCCGGTGAGTCCACCTGAGAAACCAGATCCAAATCAAATTTGGAAACTGAGGCATTGAAGTGTCACAATTGCATCCAGATTAATGTCCTCTCATCTTGGGTAGATGGACTACAACGCCCAGAATTCTCAGCAGTGCTCCTACTGCCTGTGGAACTCTGGGAGTTGAAGTCTACACACCTGGCCGTACCCCACTTTGGGAAACCTGGATCCAGATACGTTGGTTGCATTAAACAATCTTAGATACACTTATTTGGTTCCTGAACCAGTCAAAATGTGGAACCATAAACTAACCAGAGTTAGTTTTCTGAGATTATGGTCACGATGGTAACAGGAGTCATATAAAAATCACTTCAGTCCTTCACTGATGTGGGTAAACATCAGTGTGAATCTGGTTTTGGGGGGGTTGGTTTCCATTTGCAAAGCCCCAGAAGCAGAAAAGTCAATATTAACCACAATTTGAAGCTTACAAAAATGTAAGGGATAATAACTCTGGCTAAGTTTGGTAAAATGAGTCAATCCAATTACCTTAGCTGACCCAATGAATCTATTGTGCCCTTTGGAATAATTAAAAATTATTAGGTTTATTTCTAGACCTGCAGTGGCACAACTCAGCCACCAGAGGGCAGCATTTGGGCCCTTAAGAAATACAGGGGTCAACCTGAGCCAATTTTTCTCCTTTTGCTAGTACAGATTATTTTGGTGGGCCTTTTTTTCCTGGTGTTTTTGCCTTTTTTGGAGGGGGACTGTTCTTTTATTATTTATTGATTTATTATAATTATTTATTTTATTTTTTTATTTTGCCTTTGCCTTACTTACATCCTAATCTCTCTTTCTCGTCCTAAAACTTGAATTCAAACATTTTCCCATGGGTGCAATGCTGAGAATCAAACGCCAGAGGGCAGCATTGCCCAGCCTTTTAAACAAGCGCCATCACTTCCCAGAGCTGATGCAATGACCAAGAGGAGCCAGCAGAGGGCAGAACTGTTCTTTCTGCTTTTCCTCCTCATTTAGAATTAAGCCCTTTCCAAGACAATTGCAATGGCAAGTCTCAGCCACCAGATGGCGGCGTATTTACCGTCCTTTGGAATGCACAGGATTTTGAGTGAATACGAGCAATAGCCACCCTCAGCCACCAGAGGGCAGACGCTTGTAATATACCTCCATAACCTTCACGTTTGCAAAATATAACAAGCATATTTTTTGGTTGCGTTCACACAAGAGTCTTGTAAGCAAACGAATTGCTGTGTTTATTTAACATTGCATAGGACAGAAATATAAACCAATGTATGGCTTGATGGGACAGCCTGGTTTTCGCTCCTTGCAAAGATAATAGCTGGATTTCCCCAGTGCATTGAATCCCAAACAACCCATTCCGAAAATCCATTGATCCAGGAAAATCCATTGATCCAAAATATTGGTTTCCTCAACTCAATATGTTTCTAGTCAACAGTTTGCTAGTCTCCCAAGTTTTGAGTCATTTTTTTTTCCAGCTCCATCTGCAGAAGTTGCAAGGAATTAACCTGGGATGGGTTTTAGGCAGTGTTCGTGCTCCTTTCCTGAGCAATTCCATCTGTCTCAAAAGATTCTAGTCCTCATGGTTTTAGAGCAAAGTCTGATCCCAAGTGGAACAATTAAGGGGTAGTTTTCCAGGTTTTTCAACACAGCTCAAACATTGGATGTGAGATTAAAACTGGAATGCAAGCAAAGATGAGAATCCTGGTTTATCATCGGCCTAGCTTTTTTTCTCACCAATTTGCTGACTTTCACTCCCCCTACTTTTTTTTTAGGAAACAGCCCAAGACGTTTTAACCCTTCCTTTTACCGAAAGCCTGCAGAATACAATCAACTGCTCACTTCGGCACAAGTGTCAACTGGAAACCTGTCTTATGGCTTTGAGATTGTCCTGTCTCGGTCAGTGAAAACCTACATCAAGGTAACAGCAATTTTTTTTCAGCTTTCACCCCATCCACCCCATCCATCCATCCATCCATCCATCCATCCATCCATCCATCCATCCATCCATCCATCTATCTATCTATCTATCTATCTATCTATCTATCTATCTATCTATCTATCTATCTATCTATCTATCTATCTATCTATCTATCTATCATCTATGTCTATGTCTATCTGTGTCTATCATCTAATTATCATCTAGCTAGCTATATCTATCTATCTATCTATCTATCTATCTATCTGTCATTTATCATCTATCTATATCTATATCTATCATCTATTTCTATCTATGTCTGTGTTTATCATCTAACTATCATCTATCTGTCTATCTGTCTATCTCATCTATCTATGTCTATCTATCTATCTATCTATCTATCTATCTATCTATCTATCTATCTATCTATCTATCTATCTATCTATCTATGTCTCTCTCTATGTCTATCTCTCTCCTTCCTTCCTTCCATCCATCCATCCATCCATCCATCCATCCACTGTACTATCTATTCAATTTATAGATCACCCAACTCACAGTGACTCTGAGTAGCTTACAGCTTACAAACTGCAAAACAACCTGCCTATTTAAAAAAAAACAAAAAAACAGCTGACCACCCTGTTTTTGTCAAGATGATCTCGGTTTGCCAAGACATGAGGGACTAGAAACGTGAGCTTAAAGCACAAACCAAATGTGATCCTCAAATTCTCCATCCTAACTTCACGTTTGGTTTCTTGGTCTGTTTGTTTATCCCCCAGAAAAAGCAAAACCAGAATCAGATTTGCTGGCTTCTCCAGAAAGTCCCCCGGGAGCTCAAAAACACGCTTGGATATGACACCTTCCAGAAATTTCTGGACAACGAGCAATATGCCACTCGGAGCATCCGGCGCTACGAATGGGTCTTTGGACCCACGTTTGTCAGCACAGGGGGCTTGAAGAGCACCAAGGTAGTGTGAAGTGTCTTTGTTCCCAATCATGTCACCCCTGGTCCTTCTCTTCATGAAACTAGACATACCCAATTCCAGCAACCGTTCTTTACATGTTTTAGCCCCCTGTCCTCTCCAGTCTCCTGTCCTGCCCTGTCCTACCCTATTCTGAAGTCCAACTAACATCCCCCATTTTTTCCCTAGGAGCTGGTACGCTTGTTGGATTTGAAACCAGGTCAACGTGTGCTGGACGTGGGCTGTGGACTTGGGGGTAGCGATTTTTACCTGGCCAAGGTACCTTGGCTTTTGTTGAGTTATTATTCTGATTATAATGACCTCAAGGAAGTCGGTTCTAAAGTTCACTCAGACGTTGAGTCTTCCGTAGGTCTTTGTTTGTTTGTCTTCTCCCAGGGATTGGTTCACCTCAACGGGTTCTCCATAGGGTTCTTGCCCTGTGGTTAAAACTGGGCCCATCCCTTGCCGTCTGTGTGGATCATTGGTCTCCAAACGTGTCAACGTTAAGACCTGTGGACATCAACTCCCAGAATTCCCCTCACAGACACTGGAAGCAATCCCTTATGATCACTAAAGATGGTCCCTTCGTGGCCTTCGCCACGGACAGATCCATCTCTTACCACACAGAATCCTTCTCTCACCCTAAATATGCAGAGAGTCCTTGAGGCCCTGGCTCTGGAGATTCTCAGTCGTCCAGGTCCTGATTGTCCCAAAGGTGCTTTTTTCAGGAGGCAACTGGACTTCCTTTGTTTTTCTTTGAAGACGTTTTGCCTCTCATCCAAGAAGCTTCTCCAGCTCTGACTGGATGGTGGGGAGTGGAAGGATTTATACTCCTTGCAGACAGCTGGTCATTTGCATTGTTTTTAGAGAGTCATTGAGGTCACTTGGGGGTTTATCTGTGTCCTCAGGGTCACCTGAGTGGTGCAAATGGGTGTGGAGCCTTCTTGGAATTGCTGAAAGGACTGTGTTCCACACCCATTTGCACTACTCAGGTAAACCCCGAGGACACAGGTAAACCTCCAAGTGGCCTCAACGACTCTCTAAAAGGATGCAAATGACCAGCTGTCTGCAAGGAGTATAAATCCTTCCATTCCCCACCTTCCAGTCAGAGCTGAGGAAGCTTCTTGGAGGAGAAGCGAAACGTCTTCAAAGAAAAACAAGAATGTCCAGTTGCCTCCTGAAAAAGCACCCTTGGGACATCCTTGAGGCACTTTTTGTTTTTTTAATATATTTAATTATTTTTTTAATCGGCTTAATATTTGGTAAACAGCCTGTTGTCCGGGTTTATATTTACAAACAATCAATAACGAGTTTCTATAGTTCCGTAATCCGCATCGTAGCTTTCCTTGATTGTCTCTTCTTCTTCCAATCACATTCTCATTTATCAACCTTAAATGAGTACATTTCTTAGTATTTTAATGGAGAATAATGGAAGGTAAATATTTTTCTAGTATTTCTACAAGTAACAACCACACCACTGTGAAGCGTCTTTTCTAATTCATCATCTTAATCACCTTGGCATAGATCCTGTTTTTTTTAATTTCCTTTTAAGCAGAATTTAAAAACAAAAAACAAAAAAAAAACACCCTCCCTGAAAGAGTGCTGGGCATTATAGAATTGAACTGGGGAACCCCCTAAGATAGAAGGGCCAGCTGGTCTGAGCGAGTTGCTTATACAAATACGTAATATTTATTTATTTCCTTTGCAGGAATTTGGGGTGGAGGTCTTAGGCCTTGATCTTTCCTCCAATATGGTGGAGATGGCGCTGGAACGGGCGCAGGAGGAACCCAGCTCACTGGTAATAAACAGAAAAGAAAAGATACGGAATTCAAACAGGATAATTTTGGCGAGGGGTTAGGATTAAGATCGTTCCACTTAATAGTGAAAAATCCTTGATTTTTTTTTTATCTTTGGCCCCCGTTGGTCTTTTTTCTCCGGTTGCTCCTATTTCCAGGTCCAATTTGAAATCAGTGACGTGACCCGGAGGATATTCCCGCAAGCCTCCTTTGATATTGTTTACAGCCGAGACACAATCCTGCACATTGAAGACAAAATCGGTCTTTTTCAGAGGTTCCTGGTGAGTCTCCTTCTTGCCTCTGCAGATAAATAGAGGAAGCCAACCATCCCTGAATAGACACAAGAAACTCAGAGTTTTTAGTCAAGGTTACCCAGGTTTGGCACATTTAAGATGGGTGGGCTTCCACTCCCAGAATTCCCCAGCCAGCATGCTTTAAGAGGGGTGGACTTCAACTCCCAGAATTCCCCAGCCAGCATGCCTTAAGAGGGGTGGACTTCAACTCCCAGAATCCCCCGGCCAGCTTGCTTTAAGAGGGGTGGACTTCAACTCCCAGAATGCCCCAGCCAGCATGCTTTAAGAAGGGTGGACTTCAACTCCCAGAATGCCCCAGCCAGCATGCTTTAAGAAGGGTGGACTTCAACTCCCAGAATGCCCCAGCCAGCATGCTTTAAGAAGGGTGGACTTCAACTCCCAGAATCCCCCAGCCAGCATGCTTTAAGAGGGGTGGACTTCAACTCCCAGAATTCCCCAGCCAGCCAGCCTTGGAGCCTACTGTCAGTCTTACACAGCCATCTCTTGACTTCTTCCTAGTCATGGCTGAAAGCTGGCGGGCAGCTTCTCGTCTCCGATTATTGCTGTGGGCCGCGTCCGTGGTCCACCGCTTTCACGCAATACGTCGAGCAGAGGAAGTACAACCTGCTTACCCCGGAAGAGTATGGCCAGGTAGCGTATGTGAGGGGGAAGAAATTTCCGAATTCAGGGCGGGATTCATCTATTACAGGGAGTCCTTGACTTACGATCATCCATTCAATGACTGTTCAAAGTTACGACGTTGCTGGAAAAAGTGACTTCCCCTTACAGCCGTCACAAGCGCCAGGTATTAATGAGGGTTGCTGTGTCCCGGGGTCACGTGATTTGTGACCTCCCGGCAAGCAAAGTCAACAGGAGAAGCTGGACTTGCTTAGCGACCGTGTGATTCACTTCATGAATGCAGTGCTTTGCTTTGCAACCCGGGAGAAAGAAGAGTGTAAAATCAGGCACCGCATTGTTGAAAAATGGATGTTCCAGTCCTGATTTTGGTCGTACGTTGAGGACCACCTGTACAAAAAGAGCCATCTTTTTAACCATCAAATTAACCTCCTGCCTTGAGCGGGGGGTTGGACTAGATGACCTCCAAGGTCCCTTCCAGCCTTATGATTCGGTCCCTTTCCACCAAGTCCATTCATCACTTTCTACTATTGTGTTTGTGTTTGTCTTGTTTTTCTTTGAAGACGTTTCGCTTCTCATCCAAGAAGCTTCTTCAGCTCTGACCGGATGGTGGGGAGTGAAAGGATTTATATTCCTTGCAGAGAACTGGTCATTTGTCTTCTTTTAGAGAGTCGTTGAGGCCACTTGGAGGTTTATCGGTATCTTCAGGGTCATTTGAGTAGTGCAAAAATGGAACACAGTCCTTTCAGCAATTCTAAGAAGGCTCCCCATCCATTTGCGCCACTCAGATGATCCTGAGGACACAGCTAAACCTCCAAGTGGCCTCAACGGCTCTCTAAAAGAAGGCAAATGACCAGTTGTTTGTTTTTCTTTGAAGACGTTTCGCTTCTCATCCAAGAAGCTTCTTCAGCTCTGACTGGATGGCGGGGAATGGAAGAATTTATACTCCTTGCAGACAGCTGGTCATTTTCATCCTTTGAGAGAGTCGTTGAGGCCACTTGGAGGTTTACCTGTGTGCTTAGGGTCACCTGAGTGGTGCAAATGGGTGTTGAACACAGTCCTTTCAGCAGTTCCAAGAAGGATCCACATCCATTTGCACCACTCAGGTAAACCCTGAGGACACAGGTAAACCTCCAAGTGGCCTCAACGACTCTCTAAAACAGGGGTCTTCAAACGTGGCCCTTTTAGGACTTGTGGACTTCAACTCCCAGAATTCCTCAGCCAGGCACACTGGCTGAGGAATTCTGGGAGTGGAAGTCCACAAATCATAAAAGGGCCACGTTTGAAGGCCTCTGCTCTAAAAGGATGCAAATGACCAGCTGTCTGCAAGGAATATAAATCCTTCCACTCCCCACCATCCAGTCAGAGCTGAAGAAGCTTCTTGGAGGAGAAGCGAAACGTCTTCAGAGACGAAACAGGAAAGTCCAGTTGCCTCTTGAAAAAGCCCCTTTGGGACAACCATCAATCTCCCTAGACGCTTGCGCTCAAATTCATCCATGCCTTCGTATCCGATAGTTCCATCTCTGGTTCTCCTTCCGTAGTTACTGCAAGAGGCCGGCTTTGTCCAGGTCCGAGCGCTGGACTCAACGGACCAGATGTTGTCTGCATTGACTCAAGAGCTTCAAGCACTGGAGACAAGCAAGGAGAAGTTTGTCCAGGTGGGATGGCAAATGTAGCACAAAGGTATAACTGTGTGAAGAAGAGATTGGACAGACGTTTGTCTGAAATGGTCTAGGCCAGGGGTCTTCAAACGTGGCCCTTTGATGACTTGTGGACTTCAACTCCCAGAATTCCTCAGCCAGCACGGAGGAACTAAGGCCCCTTCATGACTTGTGGACTTCAACTCCCAGAATTCCTCAGCCAGCGTTGCTGGAGTTGAAGTCCACAAGTCATAAAAGGGCCAAGTTTGAAGACCCCTGGTATAGGGTCTCCTCCTTGAACAGGGGGTTGGACTAGAAGATCTCTAAGGTCCCTTCCAACTCTGTTATTCTGTTACCTGTGGGTGGCACACCTTGAGCTATGGGGACTCCACTGTCGATGCTGCCAGCGGAAATACCAATTAGCTTCTCCTCCATTGGGTTGGACCAGAGTGGTGAGGATGTTTGAGGTTCAGATGAAAAATCTTGACATTATTTGTTTGTTGTTTGTTTGTTTATTTCCCGCCTTTATTATAACTTAAGGTGGCTAACCTATCAAACACTCCTTCTTCTCCTATTTTCCCCACAACCACAACCCTGTGAGGTGGGTTGGGCTGAGAGAAACGGATTGCCCTAAAGTTACCCAGCCGGCTTCTTGGCTAAGGTGGGACTAGAACTCACCGTCTCCTGATGATTGGCCCCAAATCACCCAGTTTTCACGTCAAAGGCGGGACTAGAACCCACCGTCTCCGAGTGATTGGCTCAAAGTCACCCAGCTGGCTTCCATGGCTAAGGTGGGACTAGAACTCACCATCTCCTGGTGATTGGCCCAAAGTCACCCAGACAGTTTTCATGTCTAAGGCGGGACTAGAACTCACCGTCTCCTGGTAATTGGTCCAAAGTCACCCAGTGGGCTTCCACACCTAAGGCAGGACTTGAACTCACCGTCTCCTGGTGATTGGCCCAAAGTCACCCAGCTGGCTTTCATGCCTAAAGCGGGACTAGAACTCCCATCTCCCGGTTACTAGCCTGGTGCCTTAAAACCGGCTCTCCACATTCTCCAAGCTGAACACATTCCTTCCTCCCCGGGGACCGTTCTCAATATTCCTCTCATTTTTATTTTTTTTCCCCTCTCATCCTCAGGAGTTCTCGGAGGACGAGTTCGAGTCCATGGCATCCGGATGGCGAGCAAAACTGCAACGTTGCGCAGCCGGAGACCAACGCTGGGGGGTCTTCCTCGCTCGGAAGCCAGAGTAGACCAGGGCAGGGATTCAGCCGCCACCCACCCACCCACCCACCCCTTTTCCACCCTCCGGCCCTCTCCAAAAATCTTCCTGGACCTCCAGCTCTTAGCAGCCCACTCCAGATGGGAACAGCCTGGCTTGTTCCCTGCATTTTGGCAAGTCCCACTGGCTTCGCTCGGGAACACGGCGCTGGAGAAGGCTTTCGTTTCCACCCAAACGACGACGCGGCTGGCCCTCCGAGCAGATGGTTGCAGGCTGAGTCATTCCAGGGTGCTTGGCGAGAGCGTCTCTCGCTCCTTCCCACCCATCTGTTTTTGCTTTCCGCCCCTCGCTTCCTTCCAAAACCCTTTCCAGAATTTCGTCGGAGGGCAAGGAATGTCCCGCCCGGGTCTGCCATCTCGGTTGGGGTCTCCGCAGACGAAGCGTCCTGCAGAACTCCGAAGATGACGCAGTTGGTCCTTTCACCTGTCAAAGTGTCCTACCGAAAAAGTACGGGGGGGGGCTCCTTGACGTACGACCCCAGCCGGTGCTCAGAGTTTCTGCTGCTAAGCGGGACGTGCGTGGAGCGGGCTTGGCCCCGTTTTACGACCTCTCTAAGTTAGGGACACGCTTGCTAAGTGACTCTGGCTTGATTTCGCTTGTCGCAAAAAGGGGATAATAATAATAATAATAATAATAATAATAATAATAATAATAATAACAACAACAACAACAACAACAACAACAACAACAACAATAATAATAATAATAATAAAGTTGGAAGGGACCTTAGAGGTCATCAAGTCCAACCCCCTGCTCAGGCAGGAAACCCTACACCATTTCGAACAAATGGCTGTCCAGTCTCTTCTTAAAAACTTCCCATGTTGGAGCACCCACAGCTTCTGGAGGCAGGCTGTTCCACTGGTTAATTGTTTACGTTAATTGGATCACGTGACTCCGGGACACTGCGACCGTCATAAATAGGAGTCAGTTGCCAAGCGTCTGAACTTTGATCTTGTGACCATTGGGGATACTGCAACGGTCGTAAGTGGGAGAAATGGTTATAATGGTTCCTTTTTTCTGTGCCGTAGTAACTTGGAATGGTCACTAAACAAACGGTCGTAAATCAAGGACTACCTGTACTGCAGAAGTAGGATTTTAAGGTTTTTTTCCCCTCCAAATTCACGAATTGCATTTGCTCCTGGGCGGTTTTTGGAACTGATTTTGCTGCAAATCCTGTATTTTCCGTGCAAATGGGTGTGGAGCCTTCTTGGAACTGCTTTGCACCACACAGGTAAACCCTGAGGACGCAGGTAAATCTCCAAGTGGCCTCAAGGACTCTCTAAAAGGATGCAAATGACCAGCTGTCTGAAAGGAGTATAAATCCTTCCATTCCCCACCATCCCAGTCAGAGTTGAAGAAGCTTCTTGGATGAGAAGCGAAACGTCTTCAAAGAAAAACAAACAACTGGTCATTTGCCTTCTTTTAGAGAGCCGTTGAAGCCACTTGGAGGTTTATCTGTGTCCTCAGGGTCACCTGAGTGGCGCAAATGGATGGGGAGCCTTCTTGGAATTGCTAAAAGGACTGTGCTCCACTCCCATTTTTGCACTACTCAAATGACCCTGAAGATACAGATAAACCTCCAAGTGGCCTCAACGACTCTCCAAAAGAGCACAAATGACCAGCTGTCTGCAAGGAGTATAAATCCTTCCATTCCCCACCATCCATTCAGAGCTGAAGAAGTTTCTTGGATAAGAAGTGAAACGTATTCAAAGAAAAACAAGAAAGTCCAGTTGATCCTTATACCATCTTGGCCAAATGGAGTTCCAATCTTTTCTTGAAAACTACCAGCGATGGAGCATTCAAAACCCTGGGAGGCAAGAATTCCAAACACCCGTTCTCTTTTTCTGCAGTTTTTAATCATTGTTTAAGACCAGGAAGGGTTTTAATAAAATTAATATGGTCCCCTCTACCCGAATGGCTTGCATTATTCTTTTTTATATATAGAATTTTATTGAGTTTTATAAAATTAGGAAAGGGGTGGGATCAGTATGGGAACTGGAGTTTGGGGTAGGAGTCAGGATTGGGGTTGGAACAGGGATAGGAACAACAATGGGGTTACCCCCCCCCCATTAACATTTTCAAGCTTTAGCAAACAGACTATTGTCCAGGTACATATGTTCCATAGCCGTAATTAATATAATAAACAATATCAGTTAATCAGTACATATCCTTCATCTGGAGGGGGGCGTTTTATCAGGTTCGCCTGATTCACCAGTTGCGGCCTTTTCTGGACCGGGACGCCTTACACACAGTCACTCATGCTCTTGTCACCTCCCGCCTGGACTACTGTAATGCTCTCTACATGGGGCTCCCTTTGAGGAGCACCCGGAGGCTTCAAATGGTCCAAAATGCGGCCGCGCGGGCGGTGTTGGGAGGGA